GGTTGCTGTGTCCGGTCACTTTGAGCTTCTGCGTCTGGTCATCACTTGACTATTGAGATCGGGCGATCAATGTTTGAAACAGGGGACACGTGGCGTGCATCGCACGATCGGACGCTGGGGTCCAGCGTCCGGTCGATCTGACCGGAGCGTCCGGTCGTCCCGACTTTTGCCCAGTGAAGGGGTAACGGCTAGTTTAGCCATGAGGCTATAAATAGAAGGGAGTCTCAGCCATGGCTAGAGCTGAGCACCTCGGGGGACTTTGTGTCCATGCTTGAGAGTGCTTGGGAGTCCTCCATCTCACATATGCTTGATAGTGATCATCCGATTCTGTGAGAGAGTGATTCTAGTGTGATTGCATCGTGAGGTTGCATCGAGTGGCACTAGGTGATCGAGTTGTAAGCCGGTGCTGCTTGTTACTCTTGGAGGTTGCCACCTCCTAGACGGCTTGGTGGTGGTCTCCATCGAAGCCCGTAAGAAGCTTGTGCGGTGCTTCGGAGAAGAGCTTTGTGAGAGGCATTGTGCTCGCCCCGCGGGAGCCGCGAAGAGCAACTCTAGTAAAGCGTGTCATTGAGCTACCCTCACTTTCGGGATAGGTTCTTGCGGTGCCCGACGTGCGGGCTTGGCGGGTGATGCCAATTAGCCGCCGAACCACCAAGTGAGCGGTGACACAACGGGGACTAGCGTATTGGCAAGCACGTGAAACTCGGGAGAAAAATCACCGTGTCAACCTTGTTCTTCCCGTTGGTTTGTAATCCCCTTGCACAAGCTTGTATTCATATTTCATATACATTGTGCTTGTGTAGTTGCTCTTGTAATTAGTTAGCTTGTGTAGCTTACTAGTTACCTTCTTGCTTGTGTAGCATAGAAGTAGCTCCCTTGCGTGGCTAATTTAGTTTATGTAACATTGTTGGTCACATTGCTTAGTTTGTGTAGCTAAGTAATTGCGCTCTCTAATTTAGCATTGGTTGCCTTGTTATTGAGCATACTAGTGAGCATAGGTGGCTTTGCGCTTTTGCTTACTAGCTTGTGTAGGAGCTCCCTTGTTGCTTGAAGTATTAGTGGCATAGGTTTGTGTGACCTTGCTTCTAGAATTGGTTAGGTGAGCTCTAGCTAGCCCGACACCTTTGTTGCTTAATTAGTATCTTTGGAAGGTGCTAGAGAACATAAACAAAGAGGTGTAGTCTTGGCTAGACCGATAGTTTTAATTTCGCACTTGTTTCGGTTAGCCGACGCGATTAATTTTAGAAAAAACTATTCACCCCCCTCTAGTCCGCCATCTCGACCTTACAACCACCCACGCTCGCGCTGGTCGAGCGCGATGCTGGAGGAGATGAAGATGATCGAGAAAAACGGGACATGGGAGCTCGTCGATCCACCTTCAGGATGCCATCCGATCGTCCTGAAGTGGGTGTATAAGGTCAAGCGTGACGAGCGTGGCACCATTGTCAAGCACAAGGCACGCCCAATCGCCCGAGACTTTGTCCAGCGCGAGGGCATCTACTTTGAGGAACTCTTTACGTCTGTAGCACGCTTGGAATCTATCCGACTGCTGCTGGCTTTGGCAGCAGCGAAGAACTGGAGCATCCATCACCTGGACGTAAAATCGGTCTTCCTCAACGGCTAACTACGAGCGTTGAACGCCAACCTTGACGCCACGCTGGGCGACCTTGGATTCACATGGTGCGCAACCGAGCACGTGCTCTACACGCGACGACGGGGGAAGGAGGCGCTCTACACGCGTGTATGCAGTGTTCGCCTAAACGGCTAATTAAACGGACACTAAACTGTAAATGGTGGTAAACTATTTTATTTAGGGGTAAACGGAAATTAAATGGTTGACCGTTTAAACGGTCAAAAAAACAGGAAAATAGTCTAAACGGCCTAAACGGAATGGAGATAAACGATATTAAACGGGCTAAACACCTTTTTAAACGGCTGTTTAGGCGAACACGAGGTACATCTAGTTCAGTTTTGTATAGATAAATTTGTATACTTAAGTTTATTATATTTATAAATGTGTAAACTTGATATGTTACATGCATAAATATCTATATTTAGTTCTTTTCACATGCATAAATATATATACATAACAATATAATTGATTTTTACTCGGATAAATATGTATAAATGCTAGAATACTTGATTTTTTACTTGCACATATATAATTATATGTATTTTTTAAAAGTATAAAACTGTTTAGACCGTTTAACTTCGTTTAAACACTGTGTAAACAACCTAAACGCTAAACGAAGGGCGACCATGTAAAGACCGTTTACCGTTTAGGAAAACATTGCGTGTATGTGGACGACTTTATCGTCATCGACGCGCATGCGGAGGACATCGACAGCTTCAAGTGCGAGATGGTGGCTCATTTTCGAATGAGCGATCTCGACGCACTTTCCTACTATCTCGGCATCAAGGTGAGACTGTAAGTGCAATCAAGCCCTATTGTGGATTTTGGTATTGATGACCACCAAATTAGAGGGCTAATAAGATTTAACGAGATGACAAGCAGGGAAACGAGGAATGAGGATGATGTACAGGTTGCAGATGTCCTAATTACAAAAGGTGGCTGGACCTAGCTCAAAGGAGGGTTAAATTCTTTTATGTTTTGAAATTGAGTTTAAGGAAAACCGTACTATTAAGAGGGATTTTAGGACAGTTGGTCAACTGTTGAATCAGATGCTCAAATTCACAGATCTACATCCTCCCACCTAGTCAAAACAGTCAGCCAAATTTCATATCATATTACCTGTTTTGGCTAGGACGGCAGTGCCGCCCTTAACTGACCGTTGGGCTCGGGGGGTATTTATACCCTTCAGGCCCGGCCCACAACGGTCATTTTCTCCACTGAGTCATTCTGTTCGAAAACAGACAGAACCAAAGCTCACCTCTCTCCTCCATTGTTGCTCCTCCATCCCTCAAGTTAATCCTTGATTCCAACCATCAAAACTTGAGAGAAAATGCAGCAAAACTCGATTGGAGAGAAGATACACTGATTCCCAAAGTCTAAGAGCATTTGGTTCACGTTTGGCCGGCGGTTCTAGGGTTTGTTACTCTTGGAGCTTGCTCCTAGCTGGCTAGGCGTCGCCCTTGTGCTTGCCAACTTATGTGGCAACCTTGAGAGGTTTGTAACCTCATTCAAAAGTTAAGCAATCACGCATCACTTCAAGAGTTCACTCTCTTGATTTGAGAACGAGGGTAAGGCAAGCCTTGGTGGCAAGCTCAAGCCTTTTGTGGCTTCCTCAACAACGTGGACTTAGGCAAACCTTAGTGGTGAGCTAAACCACGGGATAAATCTTGTGTCTCGCGTGCTTCATCTTTACTATACTTGTTGTTTACTTTATTGCTAGCTGTAGCTAGGGTTTAGTTGCTCGATTCACTGTTGTGTGAAGATTCTGTGGTATCCAGTCTTCGAACTGGATCTTGGCTTTATATTGCAGGATTAAGCAGCTAGTGGGGTCAGGTTCACATCTGTTAAATCTCAACTATGTTAGACTATTTTTCGTAGAGCGGCAGTGACGTCCTATAAGGCCGGCAGTGCTGCCCTCTGTTCTAACAGAGTTTTGAGTTGAATTTTTACATGTCTATTCACCCCACTCTAGGCCTCCTTTATCTTCCTATAGATCCTACAGAGACAGGGGTAGAAGACGCTCACGCTCGGTCAGAGCACGTACGCCTCAAAACTGTTGGAGCAGAGCGACATGGCTGAGTGCAAGCCGTGCGTGATTCCGATTGTGGAGCGGCTAAAGCTGACGAAGGCCAGTACCGCGACGAAGGTAGATGCAACACTCTACCGGAGCATCATCGGCGATCTACGCTACCTAGTCCACACGAGGCCGGACATTGCGTTCGTCGTGGGCTACGTCAGCCATTTGATGGAGGATCCCCGAGAGGATCACTAGGCTGCGGTAAAGCGATTGCTGCGCTACGTCAAGGGGACGGTGGATTAGGTGATCGTCTTCCGTAAGACCAGCGAAAGTGGGCTGTTGCTCACTGTGTTCAACGATGTAGACATGGCGGGGGACATCGACAGACGGCGGAGCACCTCTGGCGTGCTCGTATTCCTCGGGTCGGCTCCAATCTCATGGCTGTCACTGAAACAGAAGGTGGTGGCGCTGTCCATGTGCGAGGCAGAGTACGTGGCGACGGCCACAGCAGCGTGCCAAGCTGTGTGGCTACGCCGGCTGCTGGGCGAGCTGACCGGTGTGGAAGCTCACCCACCACCACTGATGGTGGACAACCAGCCCACTATCGCCCTCGCGAAGAATTCGATTCTCCACGACCGGAGCAAGCATATTGACGTCAAGTTCCACTTCGTCAGGGACTATGTCGATGGAGGGCAGATCGTCATCGAGTTCGTTGAAACTGGTCAGCAGCTTGCGGACGTCCTCACCAAACCGCTCAGCTGTCTTCGGTTCATAGAGCTGAAGAAGATGATCGACATGGTGGAGGTTCAAGGGTTAGTAACAGGATTAGCGAAAGAATTGTAAAGTAATCTGCTACTTTCCTGTGTCTGAATGCGTAGGAGGGGCACGCGTCGAAATGGCTCCCATGTCGCACCGTAGCCGCGACAGCTGTCATATCTAGTCAATGTAGCAGCATGACAGCCTGGCATGTCTGTGTATTAGGATTAGATGGGTAGAGTTGTATATATAGCTTCACACTGCAACTCAGTGAAATGAGCGAGTTCAGTTTTATCATTTCCTCTGCAGAGCTCCGGCCAACGCTGGTGCTTGTGCTGTCAGTGCCCAACTCTGTTCTCTCTCTTCTTCTACCTCTAACCATAGTGTGTGGTCGGCGACGCCCCGTCGAAAGATCCGGGGCCAACAGATGTAACTCCAGTGAAATCGTAGCTGCGCTGCGTCCGCTGCTTCTCCCCTGATAAAACTCCAGGAGTATCCACGAAGGTTACATGCTCTAATAACTTCCCAAAGAAACCGGTAATGTTAATTTCTCCCACAACAAGGTGGATGTAGATATTCAGTGCAAGATAAGGATCATACTGGATGTGGCATCTGAGAACATTCAAACTTTGATAAAAATGCTGTTCCGAAAGATGACAGGCCACTGTATGGCATGTCAGCTTGAACGGCAATGGTGTTTCCAGGAATGCATCTTTCATCCGGTCCAGACTGCGGTGGTGGAAGCAGGTATCATAGGAATGACAGGATGCATGGAGAAGATACATACTGATTACTACTGAATGATTCAAAGGATGATAGGAGTCCAAGAGAACTTACAGTGATGACAACAAATCTGTCTGTTGTAGGTTCTGGTCCAATATGAGCACCTGCACAAGGATTATTGCATATATTGATAAAATTTATTCAAAGAAATGATGTGATACAAGAACAATGGGTAATCCATCTTGCTCACCTGGATAACTTGTCTTTAGTAAATGCTTTATGAATGTTGTTTTCCCGGTGGAGTATTGACCCAACAGCATGACCATTGGCTTTGCATCAAAATCACTGCTAGTCTGTTCGAGGAAAAAGGTCACTGCTAGTCTACAAATATGATATCTTATTAAAGAAGTATGATGCAGAAACCTCTATAAATTGTAGAACAGAACAAATATCACATATTATTTTTACAATACGACACTTTTACTAAAGTTGTAGAAATGAGCAATGAATAATTTACAAATGCTTTTAACAAGCTGTGAAAAAAAACTATGGGCCTAGAGGGTCAGCAGCCTGACTAAGCTCAATCCACAGCAGGGAGCTTGACCAAGCCTAGCCGGCCCAATAAGGCCCAATGTGTGTTCAGTGAAGCCAGAGTATCAGAGGAATTCAAAAAAAAAAAAAACTGTTAAAAAAATCAATAACATGATAGAGATACATTGCTGTGCAGAAAGATTCTATCCTTTGGCATTACACATACCAAGAGAGTTCATGTGTTTTTTGAATTATTAGGATCTTATTAAAATTTTACCATGGACTATGTCTTTGGGTTTATAAGATCTAAAGAGCAAGGGAGACACAATACTTGACAACAGATGTACCTTTGCTGTAAAACAAATAAAACTGTAGAGAAAATAGAGGGGTGATGATTACCAGCAAGGGAGACACAGAGTCATGGAACTGGTAGGTTTTTTCCAAAGGCCTCAACTTCTCAATGTATGATTTCTTTAGCCCATCGATGATCGAAGTGACTGATTTCAAAGGAATCTGTAAAAATAAGATGATGTACTCATTAAGAACATTGTAAAATTAACTTTGAGTAATACGTTAGCACGCATCTAGTTATTGGTTTACCTTCTTTCCTGACTTGGAGTTGAACCAGCTGGCAGGTATCGGTGATTCTGATGGATGACATGCTGCATAATGCGCAAGCATATCAGTCAGGTTTCAGAAACTCAACAGACAAAAGCGTTAGCTCTTCCATTAGGTTTGAAGGTAACAGCACGTACCAACAATAGCAGACTCGCCCTTACTCCCAGAGTTCTTTTTCTTCGAGAATCATAAAGGAAAAACAGAGGAGAGATAACTAAGGTTGTATGCTATTCTGCATTTTGATTCAAGCTAAGGAAAAGATACCGTGACATACTAGTTTTTTAGCCAGACCTTCCATTGTGGGGGTGCTGCAACCTCTCGAGATCTGAAGTAGATGAAAACATTCAGCGGGGTTTTTTTTCGTCAAACAAATATCTTTACCAATTAAATCTCCTTTGAATGTGCTTTACCTGCACTTGAAAGGGTGTCATGACTGATTTCATTCCCTGCTTGTGCGAGAGAAACCAGCTGCACATTGGTATCCGGTTTAATGTACAAAAAGAAAAAAAAAACAAGCCCATATACGCAGAGATCAGACTGAAGAAGAACCTGTATCAGTGTATAGTTTACAAACCTGCATGGCAGTCATAAACTCGTAGAATCCAAGATATCCCTGCCGTTTGGAATCAGCGATCGCCCAAACCTTTTTTTTTCTCTTTTTTTTTTCTTTCTCGAATACGCAAGAGCATTGTGTATCGTCGCATTATATGCAGGAACAAGCGATCGCCCAAACCTGAAGATGCAAAAGAAACATTTTGGTGACATCTGACATCGGTTTGAAAAAGAAGCATTTTGGAGACTGAGAATCCAATCCAAGAGAAAAAAAATGGAGAAAACATGTGCTAGCGCTACGTATGAAAACTAGCTGTAACCCGGCTAAAGAGTAAAGTTCACGCCCGATCCTTAAACTTGCAGGGGTGTGTCATTCCGGTCCCTGAAATCAGAAAGTGTGTCATTCTGGTCCTTAATCTATGTTTGGATCTCGTATTCATCCAAACGAGTATGGATCCGCACCCGCATGCAAAGATAATACTTGATTGCTTGAAATAAAACAATAGCGGGGTTATAAGCAAAATTGCCCAAACACATAAATTATACAAATATTTACATGCATGCATTATCACTTGTTCCTGCATATAATGCGAGAAATGACGTTTGCCAATGCATGCATGCATTATCGCAGATCGTTTCTGGTTAGAACGAACACGTTGACTCACCTGCTTCAGGTCGGGCTTGGAGAGATTGGACATGGCGAAGAACCTAAGCTCATCGTTCCCCGTCAGGCGGCCATCTCCGTCTTTGATCCGTTCGCGTAGCAGCACCGGCGCAATCGAAATAAAATTTAGTAACATCCATTCATCCGCGAGATGGAAAAGGATGAGGCGCCGTGGAAGCAAACCTTCGTCGGCGAGGGCGAACCACTGGAGGTAGGTGGCGCGCTGCTCCTTGAGGCTCCACTTCTTGGGCGACGAGTCCGGCCCCATCTCTTCACCTCCCTCCCTGCCGGAGTCCGGGGAGGAGACGAGGAGAGGGAGGACGACGAGGAGGGGCAGGCAACTCGCGCCTCGAGGAATGCCACCACCGCAGAAGCGCGCGCGGGCAGCGTCTTCCCGCGGGTTAACGTACGGGGATCGGCGCCTCCCATCGACCCCGCGTGGCGCCTTGACCCGGCAACCACGCTCGCGTCCTGGGCCTCCATAGCTCGCCCGACTTTTGAAAGATTGGCCCAAGGAAATCCGGCCCGGGCAGGCAGGATCGGCCCAAAACAGTCCCTGTACCGGGTTCCCGCGCAGCCGCTCGCGCCGCCACGCCCCACGCGGATGGCGCGCGCGCGAGACCCGGTCCCTCGGGCGCGTTTGGGGGCGGTCAAACGGAGGCGGGGCCCGCGGGGCTCGCCTCGGCCTCACCCACCACAAGCCGCAGGATCTCACGTCGCGTCGCGTCGGGTCGCATCAAAAGGCGGTGCCGTGCGCGTCTGGGGCGGCGGGACTTGCGAGTGCGTGCGTGACCGAGGCCACGCGGCGCCGTCCCTCTGGCCCCGCGGCCCGCGCGTGGGTGGGAGCCGGCGGGCGGCCCTGAACTCGCGCCGATCTGCGGGGCCGCCATCGTCCGCGTCTCGGATGGCGATGGGTCAGCGGGCGGGCGGGCAGGCAGGCAGGCAGGCAGGCATCGTATCGGCCGGCCTATCGGGTGAGGTGTGTGGCCACGGTGCCCGCCGCCAGGCGCCAGTTGCAGGCAACTGGACTCGGAGTCGGGGCCACGGCAGGCGGCTGCGGAGCGCAGACTGCATTGCGCCGTCATCGCGAGGGTTCCTAAATAGCTAGCTAGTGTAGAGAGAATCCTAGATCAAATAGCTAACGATTTTTAAATAGATAGTCTAGCATGATCTTTTATAAACAACTCTAGTTCGTAGCTTAAATAACTCTCCGTCACCGTTACGGTGTTCTTTTTTTATTAAGCCTAATCTACTATTTGAAAGTTGCCACTAAGAATGTCCTGATGCCAGTCTCAATAGCAGTTTTATAGGAGTTTTATTTCTATTTAATGATATGACTCATCAGCAAAACTAGGGTATCGATGAAGAGATTGAAGAATAGAGTTTCATGCGGATGGAACCCAGTCGGCGCCGTTACCCAGGCAATGAAATCCGATGAAACGCCCACTGAGCACGGAGAGTTTCATCCCAACGCGCTCGGGCGGATTTCCTGCGAACCGCGAGATTCTCCTTCCCGGCGCCGCCCCCCGCCTCCCTGGTTCACGCCAAATCTTTCCCTCCCCAATCCTATCCTCACGCCTCCTTCCATGCCGGCTGCTGCTTGTGGCCTTGTGGGCGTCGTGTTCCACGGCCACCGGTGCCTCAGCCAGGATTCCCCTTCCCAATTGAAGGATTTTGGTCCAGATCTGGCGGCAGTGGTGGTGCAGTCCACTCCCTACAAGAACAATCAGCGAATATGTGGTAAGCTCATCTTCGCATCAAGTTCTGTTGTCGTCTCCTCTCCTATTAGATGGTAGTACAGATGATGTGTATGAGCGCTAGCTGGTTGGGAGCATCAGATGTGTTTTTGCGTCAAATTTCTCCAATGTTGAATATTGATGGCGTCTGGCAGCATCGTTCGTTTCAGTGATGGTTGCTGCTGCTGGCCTGCTGGCCTATAAAGCCAGTAAATTGTTAGGGGAGTGTCGATGTCTAGCCAGGATGCAGAGTTGGAGAAAATCACCATTGTCATGATTTAGGTGCCCTTATTCCTGAATGTTTAAGAAGTGAACCCAAAGAGATGCTATCTGAATTTTTTTTTTCTGAAATGAAAATCTATCTGCATTTGCCTGAATGTTATCTGCATTTGCATTCATATGACCTTACCAGTGTACTGAAACTGAAAGTATATTGATGGTATATGTCACTGAACTGAAAGATTGAACTCGGCTGCAGTCAAGCTATGTCTATTTTGACTGAAAGTATATTCGATATAGTCTGACCCAAGAGTGTATAGGTGCAAATGTGATATGCCAATACTCGGCTGCAGTTAAACTGTCTCCATTTTGATTCCAAGTTCACTTCATGTTTTCATATGAATGCAACTGCCTCAGCCATGATTCCCTGTTCGCTTGGCTGATAAGCCATGGCTGAAAGTACTGTTGGCTGATTTGTTGTGAGAGAAAAATACTATTCGTTGGTTGAAAAAGTACGGCTTATAAGCCAAGCGAACAGATATGGTATTTTTGAAAAATCCTATTTGCTGTCCAATTCAATTATCTACTACTATAGCCTTGTGATAGATATGGTATTTTTGATTCCAACAAAGCTCACAGGAAGAGCATGAGGAGCATGCAAACAAGGCAAAGACCTTGCCTGAAACAACTACAGAAAAGAACAAGCTGATCATCGACGGGATCTACAAGCAGCAGTCAACTGATGGCTACGGATCTCAAATATTGAAGTTTTAAGCTCTGAAAAAGGAAGAATCATGTATCTGAAAAAGTTACAATGTTATTTTAGGCAAATTCTTGTATTGTGTATTGTGGTCTTGGCCGCAAATAGAATATTGAACCCACTAGCACATCTAGATGAAAATGTCAATTGTCTGACATGCAAATCCCAAGAAGTTAGTTCGCTTCGTCGCTGCGTGTTTTCACGTAGTTCCTACTTATCGGCTATCAAATTTAAATGGCTACATAGTCCAAATGGCACATTAGATCCCAATATCATGTATATATTAACTGCTGCAACTTGGCCCCGTTCGCTTCGCTGAAAAAATAAGCCAAAACATTGCTCCGACTAATTTGTTGTGAGAGAAAAATATTGTTCCAGCTGAAAAAACAAGCTGAAAAGTATGGATTATAAGACAAACGAACTTGTCCTGGAAACAGTACAATGAAATCCTTCACTAAGAGAGCCGGTTTCGTTTCTCAATCTAAATATGCAAAGCTTATACGTCTTGGATAACAAAGACACGGTGTGGAAGGATTTAATTGATCTCAAGCATAATACAAATAGGCCAAACATCTTAGCTAGAACAAGTGGGACTTCTAACTTTCTTCGGAGGCTTTGGGGCAGTTCGTCTGGTACAAAAGCCAGCCGGATTTCATTGTGCACGGCTAAAATTCACTGTTCACTCTCTCACAAATTTCTTCAGATTCATTCAGATTTCTCCAAATTCCTCCCAACGAACAGGAACTTTATGTGGCCAACTAAAGTGGACGTTTGGAAGAACAGTTGATGATAGACTAATGGAGATGTGGATATATAAGTACGTGCAAAGTGGCTTCTATGACTCGAAATTGGCTAGTTGTGTTGCAGGAGGAGATTTCTTTTTTATGGAACAGAGAATAGATGAGGTTAGGAAGATGCTAAAGACAATGCTGTGGCTACCAAGCCATTGGTACATATTGACTGGAGTCAAGTAATGGAGAAGCCTATTGAAAAAGCTACAAGTCGGGAAAATCTTAGGATGGAGGCACGAAGAGAACAAGTAGGAACAATCTTCATCTCACTCTGATGTAATCTGCTTTTGTCGATAGTTTTTTCTAGTTGTGTTTGGAGTGGATCTATGAGCAGTTTACTTGATTTTTCAGATGGGGCGCCGTCTACTGTGTTGTAACAGTTTAAACCATCTTTTCTTGACACATATAGTTAAGAGATTTGGGCTTGCTCCAAAACTCTAAAAATTATACATAAACAAATTCATTGATTTTCAACTTGCACAAAAGTTGACCATGCTAGGAGATAATTGGCCACGTCGCGAGACGTAGCTTTTCCACCTATATATATGTCGGATGCGAGAAAAACTCAATTCGAGACTTCAAATTGTAAGTGTCTCAAAAACTAATAGCCACTTCATGCATAGAATCAATTAAAGTTTTGAAAGTTGACTCTCAGCGCGCATCAAGGTATTAAGCAATTTGAACCAATGTCCTTGAGCCTCCAAAGATCAAGATACTAAGCAATCTCAACCAATGTCCTCGAAATCTAAGGAGAGCAAAGATATATTTATTTTATTATGGTGCTTGTTTCATCTCTTACTCTTCTATATATATTTATTTATGATACTAAGCAATCTCAACCAGCGTCCTCCAAAGCTCTCCTATCTTACTCTTCTATATATATTGATTTTATTATGGTGCTTGTTTCACCTCGCACCTCTTGTCCTTTCTTTGAACGTCGCTACATGGACCATTAATCTCTCCCTACATGAAACCTACCTAATTTTGCCAGGATTCAGATCTCTGCCAATTCAAATTCCAATTGAGCCTGAGATCTTCATAGCAAAAAACTGTGCCTTTAGCAATAGATCGAGACGCGCCTTTTATCGCCGCATAACCTTCTCCTCAACCAGGGCACGGAAAAAGATAGGATTCGGATCCTGCGTCGCCCTTTGAGGCGGCAGGTACAGCAGCGGCAAGGTGAATGCGACCCTAGCTTAGGTTGGTCTCGGCGAGGGTTTCATGTGAGTTTCATTTGCATTAAATAGGTTGTTATATAGGTAATTTTAATGACATGGCTGCGTATTTAATAAGGGAGAGAAGAAATGAATTTTATCTAGATGATCTCTTGGCACGATTACCAACTCTCTATGAATCATAAAATTAAATGTTCATAAAACTCTAGAATAAAACTTTACACTGAGAGTAGATGTTTCATCCGTGTTTCCTTCCATTATATATGACGTCTTGGAAACAACTTGAAATCTATTGATTCACTGGATTTAGTGTGGCCGGAGTCCGTTCCACGTATAGTAGTGGACTGCACACACAGTGATCCCCCGCGTCGCGAGCAGGAGTAGGAGTAGATGGCTGCAGCTAAGCAGCTTTTTCGACCTGGTTCGTTTCGTTGCTGATTTGTAAAGAAATGCTACTAGCTAATTTGTGTGAGAGAAAAATACTACTCTGATTAGAGATTTACGATCGTTTATGACGAGAGAAGGCCGATCGAGACCGAGGCAAAAAAAAATAAACCGAAACGTGTTATCGCTGCCCCGCAACGAAACGCGGCCGCGGGCGGGGTCGGGGAGGACCGAAGACGGACGGGAGGAGAAACGAAAGTGAACTCGTAGACGGGACAGCACGGGGAAATCAAATCCGGAAAAGAAAAGTATAATGGCAGCGAACGAGGGAGGCAGTGGGGAAGGTGGGAAGCGGCTGCCCAAAGCAACACCCAGCCGCGTCGTCATTCGTCAACCGCCCCCCCCCCCCCCAGCCTTCTTCTACCCCCCACCACGCCCCTCCGACGGCCAGACCACACCAGCGCAGCGCCCTCTCCTCCGTAGGCCGTAGCCGACTCCCAGCCCCTCACGCACTCCTGCCCTCCTCGGCGCCCTGTCGAGTCGAGCCCGCGTGCGTGTCTCGGCCGATCGACAGCGAGGGTGGGTGAGCGCAGCCGCGCGCCGAGGAGAGCTTTGCTTTTGCTGTGTAACGACGACAGCAGGCGGTAGATAACAGCGCGATGTGCGACGCGGCGGTGGCTGCGGCGGCGGCGCAGCGGTACAGGGGCGTGCGGAAGCGGCCGTGGGGCCGGTTCGCGGCGGAGATCCGGGACCCGGCGAAGCGCGCGCGCGTCTGGCTCGGCACCTTCGACTCCGCCGAGGCCGCGGCGCGCGCCTACGACGTGGCCGCGCGCGCCCTGCGCGGCCCGCTCGCCAGGACCAACTTCCCCGGCCACCTCCCCGCGCTCACCTCCCGGCCCCCCGCGCCCGCGCCCACGTGCAGCTCCAGCTCCACCGTCGAGTCCTCCAGCGGGCCCCGGGCCGGGGTGGCCAGGGCGGCGGCGGCAGCGGTGCATCGCAGGCGTGCCGCTGCGAAGCCGCGGCCCCCGCGGCAGGCCGCGCCCGCCGACGCCGACTGCCACAGCGACTGCGCGTCGTCGGCATCCGTCGTGGACGACGGCGACGACGCCTCCACGGTCCGGTCGCTCTCGTGCCCGCGCCCGACGCTCGACCTCAATCTCCCGGCGCCGCTCGACGTCGACGATGGCCACGACCTCGGGCTCGGCACGGAGCTGCGGCTCTGAGCGATCGGATCCACGGACGGAGACGAAGGGACAGAAGGCGGTTTTGCTTTGGTCTTCTTTTCTTGACCGGATTCTGCTTTGACTTGTCGTGCTCGTGAGAGAGCTTGTACCAGTGCTGCCTTGTACTACGCGATACGAATGGCAATAGAATTGGATGATGATTTCTGCAACGAATTCATTCAGAGGTCAGTCAGATCGTCGAGAGTTTTATTTTTTTCCATGTCTCTTGTATTTGGATCTGATATTGCCATTCTGTTTGTACTTTGTACTTGTACACTAGAAAACATCAGAGAGATGTTCACGAATCAACACGAATCTTGCCACAAATTGTGGCAATCTTGAGGTATTTTTGCTGGTTATTGGCTTATAGTCGAATTCATGTAAAAGTGAAAATCTTGCCAAACGTTTTGATTTTTATCTTAATTCTTTTGCTTGCTGTTTTAGAAATTTAAACTAGCACAATTTAAAATTGAAAAAAAAATCAATTATAAACAAATCAAACAAACAGGGCCATTGTCTCGCCAGGGATAGAGGTAGACGCGACGTGGTTCATCGGTTCATGCATGCCCTGTTCGCTTTCATACTTGCTTGTTTGTGTAGGAGAGCAAAGATTCAACGTATCAACAACGTACCACTTTTGGTTTCTTCCTTTTTTTAAAGTTCTAGCGACAAAATCTGGGCCGGAATACAATGTAACAGGACAAGTCAGGCATTACATCAAATGTTTTGATACAGGCTCCACCATTGTTTAGGCCATGTTTTGAGATTTCGATTGGCTACGAGTGTTACGATTCCTAATTGCTGTAAAAATCATGGCTTACAGAGAGGAAAGGAACTCACTACTCCGTTAACATGGGCATCTTTGGTTTGAATTTCAAAATCTGCAAAGCAGCAATAGTTTTTTTTCTTCTTTTTTTTCCAAAAACATATAGTGTATCCCTGCAATTACATATGTGTCATCTCTCTTTTTTGAGAGGACAGAGGATTGACCATATACTTGTCTTAAAATGAACAAAGCGATTGTGCATGTGAACATCGTTGACAAACTAAACCATCATATTAAGACTGACTATGGCCTTATTCGTTTGTCTTATGAGCCGTACTATTTCAGCGAATAAACAGCGTGTTTTTCTCTCACAACAAATCAGCGAAAAGTACTTTCAGCCATGACTTTTCAGCAAAGCGAACAGGGACCATGTCACTATAGGCGTACATGTGTTGAGTTAAAAACTCAAACAAAAATGGACAATTTTCATAATGAGGAGTCTCAACTGAAAAAACCACTGCAATCTCTTTGAACATGAAGAAGGTGTATAGCATGTTGATACTAATCCAGAAACTGATAAGTGGATAACATCGAATATATTGGGTTGCTTAATAATTATATATATTGTGCCAAATTTTACGATTGATAAGTGGGTTTTATACCATATTATTATAGGCGAAAAATACTGGTATGATATATCCCATGGAAAAATTTCTAGATCAGGCATTGGCTAGTCCCACAAAATTTATAGACCCTACTCCTCCAAATCTGCAATCTATACAGTATGTTACTATCAGTTTCACATTCAAATTCAGCGACATCCAGTCAGTCTTTCAGGAGTGAATCAGGACCAAGAGCAAATGTCCTTGAACTTACCAAGGACACATTAATTGTTGTATTCGTATTCGTATTCGTATTTCACGAGTTTGGCACGATCACACAAGGAATTTGGAGTACGAACACGGTGTTTCAAAATTCAAATACCAATTCCTCTTCCTTTTCTTGTACTTCGTCGGGGATTTTTAAGTTTTTGCTATCGTTACGGATGGCACTCCTCCGTTTGCCACTTTAATATGGGCAACTACATATTTGCTACACGAAACAGTGAGACTCCTATGTATTTGTCATTTTCGCTGACGTGGTACTCCACGTAGTCAGCCATCGTGGCAGTGCTCTCAAGACCATTGATGCTTCTCTCTCCCTCAACTCGGTGACATGTGGGCCCCATCAGTTAGGTCCTCCTTCAACCTCCAGCATCAGCCATCAACACGCAGGCTCATCCCTCTGCTCCTCCTCGATCATGGCCGGTGCAGCGATGCGCGTGTAGGCAAGGATGTTCGTGCGTGCGGCCCATGGGGATGCATCTGTGCGTGTGATTGAGTTCGACATGAGCAGGAACAGAGGATGGGGTGGCTGCGGAGTCTGGTGCAATTTCGGCATGGGCAGCGGCCGGCTGCGGAGACGATAGACTCGGGCATGGCGGCGCGGGGAGGGTGGAGCCGCTCCGGCGGGCTTGGGAAGGGCTCCGCAACTGCAGCGGACTCTGTGCTTGCGCGTTGAGCCTGCACGGGAGGCGCAGAGGAGGTAGCACGGCGGGCTGCGCGTTGGGTGGTGCGGGAGGCCTACACGTCGGGCGATGTTGGAGGGCGTCACGGCGGGCTGTAGGCGAGGACGACGCGGGGGCACGGCTCCGGTGCCGGTGGCCACCATCACCGGCACGCCCGCGAAGCTCAAAGCTAGCTCAGATATGGATGAAGGGTGCGGTGGCGTGCGGGAGACCATTGCGCACGCGGGCCTGACGACGCCGGAGTCGAGCACGGCATAGGCGGCGAACGCGTTGTGCAGCGCGCGGAGTCCACTAGTGCCGGGCAGCAGCTGCGATTTTTGGTGGCGGCGCCCGGCAGCGTGGGCGTGTCTGTGAGCTGTGGCGGTGGGAGAGATTGAAGGAGACCGCCAACCCTGGCATGGCGCGCAGCGCCCTGGACAGCCTAGGCGCGTGCGGATGGCAATAAGTGGTGCGTGCTCGCCTCCTTGTTGGCCAGAGGTTGAAGATGAACCTGACTTGTGGGGCCCATATGTCAGCGAGTAGACGAAGAGAAGCATCGGTGGTCTTGAGAAGCACTACCACACTGGCTGACTACGTGACGTGCATGTCAGTAAAAATGATAAATACATAAGAGTCTTGCTGTTTTGTGTCGTGTGGTAAATACGCGGTTGTTTGTATAAAAGTGGCAAACGGATCCATCTTGTTTGCCCGTTTCCCGAGGCTCCAGATTCACTCCTGGGCCCTGGCCGGCTCGCCCCCATTGGCCATCGCGCTCGCAAGGCGCAACCAGAGTCTCGTGTCTCGCTCGAGGCTCGACCCTCCTCACCTCACGGGGCGGCGCCCGTTCGTTGCGTACTCCGCAAGTTGGTCGGCCTCCCTCCGCCGTGGGAGGGGAAAGCGGAGGAGGAAGAGGAGCCAAGCGGTTAAGCCGGCTCGGCTGCTCGCCTCCCACCCAAATCCCCCCGAAAAACACTCGAATCCCCCGGCCCGCCCAAGCAACACCCCGCAAAAGGCGAGAAGCGCCTGAGGTCAGGGGGCCGATGGTGGTGCGGCGGCTGGGCGGCGCGGGCGCGCGCTGCTCACGCTCCCCAACATCCGGAGGCGGGCGTCCAACTCCTGGGCCGCCGTCTGCGACACCTTCTTCTCCACCAAGGTGACGACTGACGACCTAGCCCCCCATCCCTAATGTCCCCCGTATCCGCTGTGATTTTGCTTGATTCGCTGACGCGTGCGCGTGCGCTCTTCCGATGGCCCGCAGCAAGTGTTCGAGAACCACCGCATCGTCTTCACCGTCGGCACCTCCATCGCCTCCGTCCTCACGGCTTGGGCCGGTACGCTCCTTCCTGCTCTGGCAGATCAGCTGTTGCACTAGATTTCAGTATTGGTCATGGTTCGGTGGGTGATGTGTGAATAATCCACGGTCTGGAAGTTCAGGCTGATTCATCAGGCTGGGTTTCCCAGTCACTTTTGGCTGTAGTTGTGGGAGGTAGTGCTGCAATCGTGCAGCTTATATGCTGCTACAGTTTTGTTACTCATAGTGCTTCCCTTTGATAAGGGATTAGGGAATGACTAGATTGGAACTGTACATCAATGGTTTCTGCAGTGTCCAGTGTGGCTGAGATGGAAACTTGGAGTTTGTTTGTATCCCATTTTTCTTAGGACTGTACGAGTTAGGCTTGGAAAAGCATAGTTTACCTTTGGTGTTGGATTCTTTGCTGATTCCCCAATTTAATTTGCATGAGGTGATTGTTCTAAACTCATGTTGATCAATTTAATTATATTCTGTTTTAAGTATTTGTAATGTACTTTACTTATGCTTCTTAGAAATATCTTCATTGGATGGATTCACAATATTTACAATGTGAATTTTCTCACTATAGGCTATTCACTTTGCCAGGTGCATCAATCAAGGATTGAAAGGAGGCTTGAGTCAATTGAATCATCTGTAAGTAATTTAGAAGAAATACTGTTTTCTTTGGTGAAGCTGGTAACCCCAGCAGGTGGTGTGAGCATTAAGACACTGTTGTGTAATCTCTTATCCTCTGACAAAAAAAGAAAAAAAATACTGGTTTTCTTAAACATGCAGGAGTGTTGTGTCTTTTAGTTAAAAAGAGGTCTGAAAACACACACTTTCGAAAAACAAACTCTCACACAAAAGCACTGCCACACAAACGCACACCCCCAGACAGACAGTAAGATCACCACACAGAAGAAAATCTGTCAAAGCTTTTTTTTAGTTACTCTTTGAACACAGAGTTGTATCCTTTACACCTGTTTGGGCCATTCTCATTTCTCACTTCTCAGCTTGACCTACATATGCAAATCTGACAGCAAAGCAAGTTTGGACATGTGTGTGGTGCTATTTTGTTTCCGGAGCAACATTTTTTTGTTGAAACAAACATGCAGGAAAACCACCTATTATATTACAAGGAAAATTGGTTTGGGGGAGTATTTTTTTTTTCTGATTTTTGCAGTAGGATGCTGTTAATTTTCCCATTGTCTGTAGGACACTAGTGACAAGAAGTTTTTGTGTGTGTCCTATAGGCAGGGCACACTTGTTCTTGTCCTGTAGACAAATTTTCCATATTAGAAAGGAAGAACAAAATTGTCCTGTAGACAAATTTCCCATATTAGAAAGGAAGAGCAAAACACTGTCTCTGAAGGGCAACTACCACAGATTACAATACCACCTTAAGCCACACCTAGTATTCCAACAGAACATACCTTGTTGTGCTGTTGACAACAAGATTAAAGTGTTCTCTCGCTGTCCACTTCATCTGTATCTATTTCATTACGTTGCTTATTTTCATTTTTGTGGTGCACTCTTATGTTGGAGATACACTCCTTGACCCAGCAAAAAATAAAAAAAACTTGATGCTTTAGGTTTTTATATTGTACCACGCTGCCGACTAGTTTTTGCATGGTTGGATGATCTGCTTTCCTTGTCCCTTTCTATTTTCTTTTTGTTCTTTTCGCGCGTATTGACTGCTAGCTATTGAAGTGCCTGAACCGTGACTTGGAGCTCTTGGTGGGTTTCAACTCTAGCCTACCCCAACTTGCATGGGACTGAAAGGCTATGTTGTTGTTGTTGTTATTGCGCGTATTGACTGCTAGACATATTTACTTATACCATTTCTTGATGTTAACAGCTGAAGGGTAACCACAAAGTTGAACATGAAGAGATAAAAAAGATTGTCACTTCTAGCAATATTAGCGCTCTAGCCTGTGTAGCCACAGCGATGACCACAATGGTTGTTGGGTATGTTCTTGCTGTTGATATTTAACTTTGGTTTTGTACTTCGCTCTTATCTACTTTGATAGTACTGCTCTTTTAATTTGTGAAATTCATTTTATGACCTAGCATGTTACTTACTTTCTAGATAAGGTTACCTAAGGCTTAATTAAGCTTAGATCCATGCATATGTTCTATACTTGGCATGACTGGAGTCCACATTGACCATCATGCATCAAATTGGTACTTGATTCATCGATCTATGTGTTTACTGGCTTAGGACGGGTAGATGTTGAAGGAGTACATTTACTATCAGGCTTGCTTTTGAGTTTTGGACCTTTTCCCACTACCCAAAGCATCATCAAGTATAATGACTATTTTTGTACAGTGTACACACTGCCGACCATTTTGAACTTAAAGATCTTATTTTGGCTATGATGTTGCCATGTATATAGTGATAGTCAAACTTGGAATTCACAGGTCTGATGTTAAATTTCACATGCCATGTTCCCTGGGCCGGCTCCACTTGCCATAACATGCCATGCTTCAGCCCCCATTAGTGGTATGGATATGGAACCTTTTCCCACACATGTGCTGTCGGCGGCAGCTTAAATTTCCACCACCATAGTATCTTGCAACCTAAGCAATTCCACTTTGCTCGTGCATTGTCGTTGGGAGATCTTTATAATTCCTAGCTCCAACCATCTGGTGACAATGTTACGTGAGTAACAAATTACAGTCTGTCTGTTCGCATCAACCTAAGTGTGTTACCTTCTGGAATTTTTCAGGTACACACTAGGATGGAGGTGGTGCTTGGGATTTTTTTTTTATTTTTAACACTTTTTTAAACTATTTTTAAAACTGACACTGTTTAATTTTTTTTTCTTCAAATCTAACACTTTTGGCTGCGCCTATTCGCACGGCGCGGCGAATTCAAGCTGCCGCGCCATGCATGGCGGCGCGGCAGGGGTGCTTACGTGGCAGCGACCAGGGCTGTTGACCGGTGATGTGGCCGGGGCTGCCGCGCCGCGGATATGGGCGCGGCACTGACGCGCCACGGCGCATGGCGTGGCAATCCGCTTATTAATTCGCGGGCGGTGCAGCAGACCTTCGCGGGAGGTAGGGGTCCCGGCCTCCCCTGTGCCGTGTGTGCGCAGAAGCGACAACGCCTTTTCAGAGTCTGGCAGCGGAGGGCTGCTCGGCTTTCCACTCCGACACCGCGGCAGAAAAGACGCAACTGCTTTCCTGGTGTTGGAACTGTTGATATCTTACTAGCATACTTATCTCACAGGAACCATTGATGCAAAAGAGCTGAATGTTGCCATGAGGTAAGGCAGCATTCTCTAGAAAGTGAGTTGTAGTTGTCTTGTTCCTCGACAGTTTTACGGCAAAGAATGCTATAGCTCTTCCATTTATGTTAGGTGAATTGATATTGTAATCTTGCATAAGTAGTCCTAGAATAAGCTCAATGTTAAGTAGTGGGAGAGTTCCTGCTGATATTGTATTGTTGCGCTGAGCATTTCCTTCTGTTCCTGTTGCAGTGACTGTTTCCTTTTGAGCATATCTTTTAGTGTTCCTATCTTTCATATTTCTTAAGAAGTTAGCTTGTTGATGAGATGAGTTCATCGGTTCATCCTGTCCATGATATATTATGCCCCTCGCGAAAATAAGAGCCACAATATTATTTCATATTTTCTTTTCTGTGTTTGAGCCCATGCAAGTATGGAACCACATCCATGTGCTGTGGAAAGTTCCTTGAAATAACACTACTAATCTTCTGGATAATGCAGCAAATTAGGCATGGTGCAAGAGACGGACATAAATGGTTAGTTGTGCTCTGCCATCTTTCTTTGTTTATACAAATTAGAAAGACCCTCATTTTTTAAGTTACTAGCTGTAATTTATCTTGATTTCTGGTTTGTCACAGGTGACGGTGAGATAGACTTTGAGGAGTTCATCATGATGATGAGGAGGACTAGCTATGGCTACTAGGTGTATCTTATTTAGTCCTTGACACCGTCAGTTGGTTTATGATCACCGGACGTGTGTTTATTGACTGATTTTATTACTATGAACAATAATGTTGTGATCTGCTTATGCTTATCCTTAAAAAAAATCTTGCTGTGCCTACTTAAGTATGGTAACTTCTATATATGCACCAGATCTCTGTTAAAGTTCAATAGCTGATCGTTTTTGGTGGGAGGTAGGCTGAAATTTGTCCAGCTTTCTGAACTCTGTTCAGGAGTGTGGAAGTTTTGTGGCATGTATATGGTGGATGTTGCGAACATCTAAAACTCTCTAATTTCGTTGTTATCTGGTAATGAAGTTCGGTTTCAACATATGAAACTCTCTAATTTTTCTGGGGCTGCTGTTGATCGCCGTCGTTGTCGTCGTCTCGTCGAGCAAATGCTATCAGTGATCTATCGTGACAGCGTTGTTCGTTTGAACTTATCAATCATGGTACAATAATTTATATGTTCTATCTTTGAATTAATTTTGATCATTAGATCTTAACCATGTGGTTATAAAATTTGAGTGTTCCATGGTCTTAAAATAATCTTGCTCAATCATCTCAAGTGAACCAGCACACATATACATTGATCGGACCTGCAACACACACATTGAGCAATAGTGTACTCATTCTTGGGGCTTACTGAAGTGAAAGACGGACGACTGATAGGAGCAGGTAATGTCTTACCTGTTGGTACTTGTAGCTTTCATACTAGCCAATCACCCTAGGCTCAACTAGCTGTTCATGCACATATAGGTAGCTATTCATGCAGCACTAACGGTTCAAGCATATAGAGAGATAGTCGTTCAAGTAAACTAGAGATGTGACATGTTCTACTATTTGGTTTACTATTACTCAACACCAGATGACAAAGATCTGCGTTAATTAGGCACCATTCAAGTTATATATACCATGCATGAGACAATTAATATTACTCATTAAATATCACTTACCTAATTAGTTATCCTTTTCTTTATACATGTCATCTTTTATTATTAATAGTGATGTCGTCAAGAACTAGGGCTGTTGATCCATGCTAGTTATATAAATTAATCAAGATTCCTTTACTAAATTTATCTAGAGCATGCACAATGGTGGGGTGCTGCACGTCTGCACCTTGCTAGAATAGTCATCTCATCTACATGATGCTAGTCCTTTTGCATGAGTGTTTTAAGGCCATTCGTACCTATGCGGATCACCAGCTAGACTTGACTCAACTAGCTGGCAGTAGTCCTAGCTGGTGAGTGTTTTAAGGCCATTCGTACCTATGCGGATCACGTATTCACGTTCAGTCTCACTCGTTCACGTGCGGCCGTGCCTGCTTGCCTGACTACCCGCCGCCCGCTGGCGACTCGCAGAGGGAGAGTCGTCGCAGTCGTATGCAAAGGAAAGAGAATGAACAGCTGAGTGCGGGTCCGGCCTGGCCTTGCCGCGCCATGCTCCGTGGCGCGTCAATGCCGCGCCTAGATCCGTTGCGTGACAGCCCTGGCCACGTCATCGGTCAGCGCCCCAGTCGTCGCCACGTCATCCCTCTCGCCGCGCCACTATGCATGGCGCGGCACAGGCGTTTCGCCGCGCCAGGAAAATAGGCGCGGGCAAAAGTGTTAGTTTTGAAGAAAATAAATAAAACAGTGTTAGACTTAAAATTAGTTTAAAAAAGTGTTAAAAATAAAAAAAAAATCGTGCTTGGTACGCTCGAAGGGCCTTCAGAAGAGAGCAACAAAAGCTGATGATGGGCCACATGAAGTCACACAACAGATGGCACTGGCGGCCCTTCAACCGGCTGAGGAACATGCTCAGAAACAGCAGGTTAGCCTCCAAGAACAAGAGCGCCGACGCCCATCCTTCGATGGGTCAAAGCACCTAGGCCCCCTCAACCTCGAGCAGCGGGGCCTCTGCGAACGTTAGCAGTGCTACTCAGCCAGCAGCGGACAGTGCATGAGCTATATTCATTGCATACTACATGGACTAGGATGTGAACTTGAGGGCTCGTAGTCCATGCGACTTTACTAGAACAGATCATATGACTGGTAGGTACTCAGCTCGATCTGTGGTGGATCATTTTTGTAGCATATTAAGGTCATAATGCACCCAACTACATGCGTGAAACCATTGACTGACGATAGGCAGGGAACCTGTCTGCTGCAAGTGGTGTTTGGGTTGCACAATTCCCTTATGGCACGCTATTATAGAATTAAGAGAGTTTTTTTTTTTTCGACGAAAGAAGAATTAAATTAGATAATAGGTGATTACATGAACACGTTACAAGCACTCTGGATAACACAAATGTTCAGAAATTGATTTTCATCTAAATTGTATCCATGGTTCCCTCCTCTGTGAATAGATCTAGATCTCAAAATCAAACATGTACGACGCTTTGCAGTATGAATGACCGTACATGCAAGCACTCGGCAAAAGGCCTGAGAACAGATGCTCAACGAACGATGGCCAACATTCATGTAGGCGGAGTTGAGAAACTTCTTCTTTCTGATGTCTTCCTTCTTCTTTCTGTCACCGAAAAATGGGGAAGACCGATCTGAAACTTATTCTTCATAGTCCTTTATTGTGGCCAGAACTAACCACAATAAAACGGAGAAGAGACCAGAAAAATTATTCCATGGCGACAACACCATCTCCGCCTTAATGTCGCCGTCCGAAAATAAAAGTCTCTGTGTCGTCAAATCGGTGAAAATACTGACGCCGTAGTTGTTGCCTCGCATCTTCAATAGAGCCGTCATAGAGAAAACGATTCCACCTGTCCTCTCGCCGTCGCCGGAAAGGAGGAAGAGAAAATAAATCTCCAAAACAAAAAAAAAATTAACATGGAGAGACCCTAACCTAAAGACTCGACCTACTGAAAAAATTTATCAAAAACGATAGATTCTAACTCCTCCGGCCTCCGACGATATATCGGAGGAAAAAAGAGGGGGACAAGCGGTGGAGACGAGCGCCGCCGGTCACTAGAATTAAGAGAGCCTTGTGGAGACCCGTTGTACTGATATTGTCACAGTACAATAGTACACTTTTGTTTCTTTGGACCTGTGCTGCTGTGCATTAGAGAGTAGACCTTTATGTTCTGTAAGCTGGAACGTATTATACAGCGTTTGCACAACTCATGGTCTAGCGTGCCGCCCGTACGCCTGTGAGCTGCGACAGTGGCTACACGGCTATCATGCTATCTTCAACAACAACAACAACAACACCTAAAATACAAGACACATTCGTCCTTCGAATAGCATTACAGGTAAAAGATTCAATACTTATTTTGCATCTTCAACAACAAGATCCAAAAGAGAATCATTTCTGTAAATAGGTGTTCAGGAGAGATGATGCCTATATTTAGTTTGTGCCTCTTAGACTATCTCCAACAATAACACCCATAATACAATACCATTCAACGTTTGTGTAGCGCTACAGTCAAAGGGTCCAATACATATTCGACATCCTCTCCAACAACAGAACCCAAAAGAGAATCATTTCTGCAAATGGGTTTTCAGGAGAGAGGATACTCATATTTAGGTTGCGCCTCTCAGACAAACCAAAATGGATCTTTCATACAGGTACTCCGTTGGATGCTGATTTTAGGTCTCCTACTACCCATTTTGGGTTTGGGTGCCTATATAAGTCACTTATTAGAGATTGTCTTAGGCAACTCAAAATAAGTTTTCAGTATAGATACTCTGTTTAAGGCTAATTTTAAATCTCTTTATATCTATTTTGGGTTTGTTGTAGCGGAGAGTCTTACTACGGTGATGGTCATATGTCTCACATCTCTACCATGCTTCGAGCTGGCAAGTGCTCGCAAGTCGCATAGTACATCCACTAGTGAGCAGTGAAAAAGACATCCACTAGTGAGAAGGGAGAAAGACACGGAGCGCATCGCGCCACGGCACGGAAACTCACCACTAGCGGCGATCAATCAGGCGCTGCAGTCGGCACGGCACTTAGTCGGCACGGCACTTCCATCAATCCTGTTATTTTTCTCCACGTGCTCGCGCGCACTGCCGTGCCGAGCCGGAGCTCGGCAGCTGCCCGCCGCGGTGCGCCGGCGCCGCCCCCCACGCAGCAAGCAAAAGCCGTAATCCCGTACCGTAGGCCGCGACAAGCACGGCAAACAGCGGCCCTCACTCTGCCTCGGTCCCTCGTCTCCACCTTCACTCGCGCGCCGGCGCCGCTCAACCCCCATTTCCACCTAAAACCCACACGGAACCCCGGCACCCCTCCACTCCACCAGGCGCCAACCAGCGTGATGGCGGTGGCCTCGACGTCGCCCCTGTCCGCCAAGCCCGCCACGGCCCCCTCGCCGCCTGCTCCCGCATTCGGCTTCCGCGCTCTCCGCTCCCGCCGCGGTCCGCGCCTCGGCCGCGCCACCGCGTGGTACGATACGACGCGCCAACTCTAGCCCGGCTGGTCCTTCTATCTCCCCCTCCCCCATACCGTACTCGTGTCGTTCTAACCCGGGCCTGTGCAGGAGGAGGCTCCGCGTGGAGGCGATCAGGACGCAGCGGGAGAAGCAGGGGACAGAGGTGGCCGTCGAGGAGTCCGCCCCGCCAGGGACGCCGCCGCGCCCCTGGACGGAGTCGGAGCGGACGATCCCATGGTTCCCTCCTCGGACGAGAGCGACTGGGTGGTCAGGCTCGAGCAGTCGTTCAACATTTTCGCCACGGTGATTCTTCAGTAGCCCACCAGATTCTCGGCACAATGCGTCCCGATTTCTTCAGCCCTGCAAAATCCTGTACCCATACATCTCGATGGTTTTACTTTATGTGCTATTTCCGCAGGATTCGGTGATTATGGTACTCAAGGGCGTGTACCGTGATCGGTACTACGCCAGGTTCTTTGCGCTGGAGACGATTGCCAGGGTGCCGTATTTCGGTGAGGGCTCCGTTTTGTCATATGCTTGCAGTAGCCAGAAAAAGGTTCCTACTACGTTTTGCAGCGGTTGGTTTCTGCCGTGCCGTTGTGGTGACTGTTTCGACTCTGCTTGGTTATGAACAGCGTTCATATCGGTGCTTCACATGTATTCGACCTTTGGCTGGTGGAGACGAGCTGATTATATAAAGGTTCACTTTGCGCAGAGCTGGAACGAGTTCCATCACCTCTTGATCATGGAAGTATGTCTCCATCTTCCCTTTCCAGTAAAATCCATGTGTGTGAGATCTTCCTTTCAGTGCTATTATGTCAAAGTTGTACCACGACTTATTTTTATTCTGTTGGTTTTGCCTATTTTGTTTTCCATATTAATTATCACTTCAGTTTCTTTACATGAATTCAACCTACTTTTGGATTCATCCCTTGGCTCATATCAGGAATTGGGTGGCAACTCTTTATGGATTGACTGTTTCCTTGCTCGGTTTATGGCGTTTTTTTACTACTTCGTGACTGTTGCGATGTACATGCTGAGCCCACGAATGGCATGTAAGTACTCTTACTTACCAGTTGTGAAGTAAATGCTTGTTTTCTAGTCTTTTGTGATGATAACGCTTGCACCCACGAATGGAGTACATATCACTTTTCTGAATGTGTGGAGAGACATGCGTATTCCACCTATGACGAGTACGTCAAGCTCCATGAAGGTAAGGCTGCCTTAATGGGCTTGATTGTTGAACCTGGCTTAGTATTTTTATCCATGTAAGGCAGTGAGCCAGATACCAATGTGGTTCAAATCGTTTTAATTTTATGTCATCATGTTTAAAGATTTTCAGTTTCTAGTTCTTACAAACATCCAGAACCCTAAAATCATTTCTCAGGATAAATTCTTATTCAAATATTTTGCGTCTTAATAGTTTTGAAACTCACCATGTAATTACAGAAGCTGCTAATTCATTTTACCTGCACTTCCACTTCGATGATGTAAATTTTCTGTTTCCTTTCAACAGAGGAATTGAAACGAATACCAGCTCCAGAGGCAGCATTAAATTATTACCTGAATGAAGACCTTTACTTATTCGGTACCCACTTATGTTCCTTAAAAATTTAAAGCTATACATCAACAGTTGATATCTATTCTAATTGATTGCATACCTTCTTTGCCCCTCAGATGAGTTTCAGGCATCAAGAAGTCCAGGTTCTAGGAGGCCTAAAATAGGTAAACTTGTTGCTATACCTTTGTGCCCTCAATAGCCACCTAATACTTGTTTTATTTTTTACTTTAAGGTTGGAACTAAACATGTTAGCTGTGCTTGTGAAATTAATTGGCTGCTCCATCATGGAGTCATACAAAATCTCGATTCTGTTTCCTTGTTTACTGGATTCTGGCCTCCTGATGTAAATTATTTGTAGTCGACCTTTCTATTTCTCTGCTGTAGGACTTGTAAATAATCACTGTTTCCCATATGCAGATAACTTATATGATGTATTCGTCAATATACGAGATGACGAGGCAGAGCACTGCAAGACAATGAAGGCCTGTCAAACACATGGAAATCTTCGTTCTCCTCACTCAACGCCGAACTGCTTAGAAGATGATACGGAATGTGTAATACCTGAAAATGATTGTGAAGGTATTGTGGACTGTGTCAAAAAGTCCCTTACAAAGTAAATATATTATTCCGTGTGTTTTCAGGCATCATAGTATACAAAGTACAAAATTTTGGTATATCCTCTTTTTTTTCTATGTACCTTTTTAAGTAAAATCCGGGTCATATATCACAGAAGCCAGTTTAGATACAATTATGCAACTGAATCAAATTTCTACTCCCTCCATTCCAACATTTCAACTTTCTTAGAGTTAAAAGGATTTCAAGTTTGACCAAAATTATAGAGAGAATTACAAAGATTTATAACATCAAATAGGTATACTATGATAATTAATGAAAAATCTAATGATATTTATTTGGTAGATCGTTATTTTTTTTAAAATGTTATTTTATTGTATAAATTTTGTCAAATTTGAGATGCTTTGATTCTCAAAAAAAGTTGGAATGACTTATTATTTGAGATGAAGGGAGTAACATTGAAGAGATGAGAATTCAGGCTGTGAAACATTGCCACATGGCTTGCTCAATGTGCTTTATAAAACGTTGCATTCTTGTTGCATGGTAAACTTAGGAACGTAGTGTCCAAAAGACATTACAGACAAATCCCATGATCAGTAAGAGGCACCCTGCAATCCCTCACCAGTCACTAGAGCTTACGATAAAAACAGAACATTCTGTGGAAGTTTACACCATAAAATGTCTTGCTATCAAACCAGTACAGTGTACATACAAATGTATATATATATTTACTTCGATAAACCATTACATTAGCTATTCACCTTTTTTAATACCACTGCGATTATTTTAGCGTTAAAACTATGTATATGAGCCTATATAAGCATGAATAGCGGTGATGTATGTAGCACAATAGAACAACATTTTTTATGCGGCAGGGCTAGCGCTTGGACATCCGGCCCTAGGCCCGCGTCCGGACACAGTTCTGACGCCTGCAACCGCTTCGCATCGGACGTCCCCGTGCTCGCATCAGACCCCGCGCTAGTGACCGCGTCCGACCATCCGCGACTCGATCCCCATCCCGGTTGCGGCCCCGGCGTCAAGCCCACCGCGTTCCTCCCCCCACCACGCCGCGCTCCTCCCCTCGCCACGACGCCATCCCTGTCGCGCCCCCGTCCTCCGCCGCGCCCCTTCCCCTGTCCTAACGTCCCATCTCCTCTGCAACATCCGTCCGACCGTTGCAACATATGCAGTATACTATTGAAATATACTTGTATAGTCATTGCAACATCTAGATGAAACACATAAAACATGTATCTGAAACATTTGAAATATTTGGAACATACATTTGCAACATACGTCTAAAACAAATAAAACATACATTTGAAACATACGTGTGTAGCCATTGCAACATATGCCACATCAAGATGAAACACATGAAACATACAGATGAAACGCGTGAAACATACGTCTGAAACAACTGAAACACTTGAAACATATAGTTGCAACATACGTATATAGTCATTGCAACATACGCAACATATAGATGAAATACTTGAAAACAACTTTTGAAAACACACCTGAAACAAAGCATGGCGTCGCCGGCAGCTATGGCCTGCCTGGTGGCGAACTATGGTAGTCTACAAGCGTCACTCGAGTGCAGTGGAGAGGGAGGATGGCGGCAGGCAAGCGGCTGGGCGTGGTGAAGAACGCCGCGCCAGAGCAGTCGCCGTGGACCACGCCGCGTCGGCTCGAAGAACTTGGTGCCAAGTGGTGAGTGGCGGTGGGGAGATAGAAAAGTAGGCGGCGGCGCTCTAGCATGCAGCAGCGATGATGCGAGCACAGAGAGTTGATTCGAGAATGGATGGGAAACAACGGCGATTCGAGAAGAAAGTGAGAGCTCGTCGAGGCCCACGGCCCACGAAACAGACGTCCTACCCACAACATTATCGTTTTTTTTTCTGACATCTTGCATACTGTCATATTTACATTCGCCGTGCGGAAGGACACAGCAGTCACTAAACTGAAGCTAGTGAAATGTTCACTCACAAGCAACCGGTATGATCAGTACAGAGTTTCTGGCATAGCCGCATAGGAATTAGGAAGTGAGCTCATGATCAGGACTTACCGCAGCTTTTCTGGATGCCATAATCTCTTCTACCGGAGGTCGACCTGTAGTAGTAGGAAAAAAGAGTGATAAAATTTGTTCACCCTAATGCGAAATATTCAATTCACATTTGCCTTAAATTTCATTAAAGTTGTGATCCAACTACGACAACTAATGCAAGCACACAATCATAAGTCAACCATGTGCAAGTTCTTAGTCGCTATACCTGTAATTTGCATACGGTATTTTGCCCACACACCATATGCTGCATTTGTCATGTTTGTAGCTACCTACAAAGTATTAGAAGATGAATGAAGAAGTACAGGTGTCAGCAAGAAGATAATCGTCCCGTTCGCTTGGCTTATAAGACGTATTTTTTCAGTCAACGAACAATATTTTTCTCTCACAACAAATCAGCTAACAGTATTTTCACCCAAACGAGCACGACAAATATTTTGATCTCCACGCAGCAATGGTTATCTTCTAGGTGGAGCTGTGTGACCCAGAGAGTACTTCCAGACGTCCAATTTTGGTCGGCTGGGGCAGGATCGCATGCGCAGCTGCCTGAGAGGCCGCGAATCAAACACGCCGCAAACCGTCGTCCCGTAGCGTAGGCCGCGACAAGCACGGCAATCCCGCTCACGGCACTGCGAATATACCCCTCCCTCCCTCCAGCGGCGGATGCAGAAAAAATAATTTAGAGAGCTCACATACCTCCGACTGGCTGGATCTTACCGCCCCTGCCTCCCTCGATCTCTCCCTCCCGGACTCCCGGCCCCTCCGCTCCACCTTCACTCGCGCGCCGGCGCCGCTCACGGCTCACACCCCATTTCCACCCTCCCAAAACCCACACGGGATCCCGGCACCCTTCCACTCCACCAGGCACCAGCGGTCATGGCGGTGGCCTCGGCCTCGCCCCTCCCCGCGGCGCCGTCCACCAAGCCCGCGACGGCCCCCTCGCCTCCCGCTCCCGCGTCCGGCTTCCTCGCTCTCCGCGGCGCACCGCGCCTCCGCCCCGCCGCCGCCGCCGCCGCCGCTTGGTACGACGCGCCAACTCTAGCCCGCCTTCTCCTTCTATCTCCCCGGCTCCCCCATGGCCCCATACTGTACTTGTGTTCTTCTCCCGCAATAACCCGAGCCTGTGCAGGAGGAGGCTTCGTGTGGAGGCGATCAGGACGCAGCGGGAGAAGCAGCGGACGGAGGTGCCTGTCGAGGAGTCCGCCCCCGTCAGGGAGGCCGCCGCGCCCCTGGACGGAGTCGGAGCGGACGACCCCATGGTTCCTTCCTCGGACGAGAGCTGGGTGGTCAGGCTCGAGCAGTCGTTCAACATTTTCGCCACGGTGATTCAGTAGTCCCACCAGATTCTCGGCACAATCCGTCCCGATTTTTTCACCCCTGCAAAATCATGTACCCATATACGTCTCGATGGTCTTATGTGCTATTATTCCTTTCCGCAGGAATCGATGATTATGGTACTCGATGGCGTGTACCGTGATCGGAACTACGCCAGGTTTTTTGTGCTCGAGACGATTGCCAGGGTGCCGTATTTCGGTGAGGGCTCCGTTTTGTCATATGCTTGCAGTAGCCTGAAAAAGGTCCCTACTGAGTTTTGCAGCGTTGGTTTCTGCCGTGCCGTTGTGGTGCCTGTTTTTGACTCTGCTTGGTTTGGTTATGAACAGCGTTCATATCGGTGCTTCACATGTATGAAACCTTTGGCTGGTGGAGACGAGCCGATTATCTAAAGGTTCACTTTGCGCAGAGCTGGAACGAGTTCCATCACCTCTTGATCATGGAAGTACGCCTCTTTCCACTTAGTAGTAAAATCCATGTGTGCGAGATCTTCCTTTCAGTGTTATGTCAAAGTTCTACCGTGATTTACTTTTATTTCTGTTGGTTTGCCTAATTTGTTTTCCATAGTAATTATCAGCTCGTTTCTGTACATGAATTCAACCTACTTATGGATTCAGCCCTTTGCTCATATCAGGAATTGGGTGGCAACGCTTTATGGATTGATCGTTTCCTTGCTCGGTTTATGGCGTTTTTTTACTACTTCATGACTGTTGCAATGTACATGGTGAGCCCACGAATGGCATGTAAGTACTCTTACGTACCGGTTGTGAAGTAAATGCTTGTTTTCTATTACCATGTTCTTTCGTGATGATAACGCTTGCACCCACGAATGGAGTACAGATCACTTTTCTGAATGTGTGGAGAGACATGCGTATTCCACCTATGATAAGTTCCTCAAGCTCCATGAAGGTAAGGCTAACTTAATGGGCTTCTGTTGTTTATTTATATGGTTTCTGGATGTTGAACCTGGCTTAGTATTTTTATCCATGTGATGTAAGGCAGTCAGCCAGTGAGGCTCAAATCGTTTTAATTTTATGCCATCATGATTCAAGATTTTCAGTTTCTAGTTCTTATGATTTATGAACATCCAGAACCCTAAAATCATTTCTTACAATAAATTCTTATTCAAACATTTTAATTTTATGTCTCAATAGTTTTGAAACCCACCTTGTGATTACAGAAGCTGCTATTTCGTTTTACCTGCACTTCCACTTCGATGATGTAAATTTTCTGTTTCCTTTCAACAGAGAAATTGAAAAGACTACCAGCTCCAGAGGCAGCATTAAACTATTACCTGAACGAGGACCTTTACTTATTTGGTATCCACTTATCGTTCTTAAATCTTAATGCTATACATCAACAGTTGATATCTATTCTAATTGCTTACATAACTTTTTTGCCCCTCAGATGAGTTTCAGTCAGCAAGAATTCCATGTTCTAGGAGACCTAAAATAGGTAAAGTTGGTGTTATCTCTCTTGTCCCCTCAATAGCCGCCTATTCCTTGTTTTATTTTTTACTTTTTCAGAAGGTTGGAACTAAACATGTTAGCTGTGCTTGTGAAATTAATTGGCTGCTCCATCATGGAGTCATAAAATCTCGATTTTGATTCCTTGTTTACTGGATTGTGGATTCTGGCCTACTGACGTGAATCATTTGTAGTCGACCTTTCTATTTCTCTGCCATAAGAGATAAGACTATTGTAAGTACTCACTGATTCACTGATTCCCATATGCAGATAACTTATATGATGTATTCGTCAATATACGAGATGACGAGGCAGAGCACTGCAAGACAATGAAGGCCTGTCAAACACATGGAAATCTTCGTTCTCCTCACTCAATGCCGAACTGCTTAGAAGCTGATTCGGAATGTGTAATACCTGAAGACGAGTGTGAAGGTATTGTGGACTGTGTCAAAAAGTCCCTTACAAAGTAAATAGTATGTAAAATCCTCTTTCTTGTGTTTTCAGGCATCATAGTATACGAAGTACAAAATTTTGATGATATCCTCTCTTTTTTCTATGTAACTTTTTTAAGTAAAATCCGGGCACAGAAGTCAGTGTAGACACAATTATGCAACAGAATCAAATATCTAACATTGAAGAGATGATAATTCAGGCTGTGAAACATTGCCACATTGCTTGCCGTGCTTTCAATGTGATTTATAAAACGTTGCATTCTTGTTGCATCGTAAACTCAGGAACGCAGTGTCCAAAAGGCATTATAGACAAATCCCATGATCAGGACATGAGGCACCGTGCAATCCCTCACCAGTCGCTAGGGCTTACGATAAAAACAGAACATTGCGTGGAAGTTTTCACCATAAAATGTCTTGTCGTCAAACCAGTACAGTGTACATACAAATGTATATATTTACTTCGATAAACCATTGCATAAGCTATTCACCTTTTTTTAACACCATAGCGATTATTTTAGTGTGAAAACTATGTATATGAGCCTATCTAAGCATGAATAGAGGTGAGGTATGTAGCACAGTAGCCCAATAGGGGTGTTAGGTACAACGCGGCAGCAGCTGCAGCTTGGGGCCTTTTTTTCCACTCAGAATCACTGTTACAGCAGAGGCGGCTTTTTATGCTCACATCTTGCATACTTTGTCATCTTTACATTCGCCCTGCAGAAGGACAAAGCAGAAGCTACTGAAATATTCACTGATAAGCAACCAGTATGATCAGTACAGAGGTTCAGGCAGAGGAAGTGAGCTCATGACCACAAGGACAACTTACTGCAGCTTTTCGGGATGCCATAATCTCTTCTAGTGGAGGTCGACCTGTCGTAGTAGGAAAAGAGAGTGATTTGTTCACCCCGAATGCAGTATCAATGAACGTATGCATTAAATTTCATTAAAGTTTTGATCCAACTACAACAACAAATGGAAGCACACTGTCATAAGTCAACCATGTGCAAAGTTCTTAGCAGCTATACCTGTAATTTGCATACGGTATTTCGCCCACACACCATATACTGCATTTGCCATGGTAGCTACCTGCAGAGTACTAGAAGATGAATAAAGAAGTATGTGTCAGTAAGCAGATAAAACTTATGTTTAATCTCATATGTAAGATGTTCTGCTTATATAAGAAGCATGCGGCTGAATGGTGAGCCTATGAAGTGAATGGACCAAGCTGAGCCTATGTTTTGCTCTCTGTAAGTAGCGACTTACAGGCTCATACATAGTAACAACATAAACCCATCCAAGTCCTACTTCCTCGTACAGTTTTCTAAATGCCTGCAATGAAAACATAACAAATATTAGCATGAAACATACCTGATGCTTAGACTAAAAAGAATCAAATTCTGACTAGGTATTTTATTTGTCTTGGTGCCACACTCATACTTTGTTAGGTTTGGCACTACATTTTGGAATGATTCTTTTGTAGCTTGGCCAAATTAACTTTGTTGACAAATCAGGATATTCTACATCAAGTTTTTTAGAAGATGATTTACTGTGGTTAGCAACACTACTGTAACAGTCTAGTGACCATAAGCTATGCATGTAACGGTGTCCTGAATCCTGTCAAGAAAACATTAGTATCTAAGCTTGCTAGGCACTAGAAGAGAACAGTCTTAATTTTTGCTTGTACAAACTCATCTATGCATTGATACAGTTACACTACACAGAGTTAAGTGACCACAAGGAAAACAGATGTATTACAGTATTATGTAAAAGAAACATCTAGTCATTCATTATTAACATGTAACTCAATTGATCATTCCCTTCATTTGCTGCAAAAATGTTCAGACAGTCAACCTAGTCTGATTTAACTATCCAACAGTTTCTGGCACTAAGCCAGTAGCCTCTGCCTATTGGAAAGTAAAATCCCAGACGACTTCAGTAGGACATGATGTTAATGTTCTACCTCAACATCTGTGACAACAGTTCCATCTGAAAGACTGGCATGTATCCTCCCCATGACCTGAAAAGAGAAAGCAGATTTATTTACTACTCCCCGTTCCAAATTATAAGTCGCTTTGACTTTTTTGGTACATTCATTTATCTAGATAAATAATATGTCTAGATGCATAGCAAAATGAAAGAACCAACAAAGTCAAAGTGACTTATAATTTGAAACGGAGGGAGTAAAAATTAAATAAACAAATGCACATGATCTTCTAGCTCTTCCTGTATTCATCTCTCTGTCCGCCATACAAAATGCTAACTTTCAGTCTGGTCCCAGTAAATAAATTACTAATAAGAAGTCCTATATTCCCTCAGAAAATGAATGGCAGGAACTGAGGAATCAAATAGCATTGCTAGCAATGAAGGGTGGTCATACATCAGGTTTGATGAGTTTAATATTGGTTTTTGAAACTTTTTGAGAAAGCATAGAAGCACGAATGCAAACAAGCTAGGAACCATCTGGAACATTCATTTCATCATTCCGAAAAGGCCCCCGCGTCGCCCCCACGTCATCATTCCCTAGCCGCCTCTCTTCCTTCCCTCCCTCTCTCCAGCCGCCTCTCTTCCTTCCCTCCCTCTCTCCAGCCGCGCCGCCGGAGCAGGCCGCCGGCATGGCCGTGCAGCTTGCCAGGAGGGCGGCGGCGAGGCTCTTCTTCGCGGTGAAAGCTGCGACGGTCGGGGACGAGCTCACGTGCGGCGTCCTGGGGCACGGCGAGGTCGCTCGGGCTGGTGGCGGCGCCGGCGTCTTCAGCGGTGGCTGGGGCAGTCTCCTCGCTTCGGCGTCCGGATACGGCAGTCCAAGGACCGGATTCGCGCGGATCTCGGGTGGGGCGCGCCTGGGTGGGCGTTGGGCGACGGTGGCGGTGGCTCCTGTCCAAGACACCGGGTAGTCGCCGGATCCGCGGGTACGGCGCCCGTGGTGCGAGGCACTACGCCCAGGGGGCGTGCGGTGGCGGCTGCGTCGGCCTGGGGCAGGTCTCTTCCTCTTCCTCGCGCTCGGCAGTTGTTGGCGGCGTGCGCAATATCGGGACGGCGGGGCGTGCCCTCGCGCGAGCCGCGTGGGGCTCGACGGGACCACCTGCTGCGGCTGCGGCGACGCTGGCCAATGCCCGTGCAGGCGCCGGGCGGTGGCGGGGACTCCTTCCTCCTCCGCTTCCCCCTTTCCTCCTTGACCATGGCGTGGAGACGGCGGCGCCAGCCGGAGACACTGGGTCTGGCGCCCTATCGGCCAGATCCGGTGCCCCCAGGGCAGGGGGCGGCGTCCGTGGTGGGGCATGCACCTGACGGTGGCTGGCGGGGGTCGGCAGCGTCGACGGCGGGTGCTTGAGCCGGTGACGGCTTCGGCATGCGGCAGGGTGGCGCGCGTGGCAGGGTAAGTCCAACTCTGCATGTTGCCCGGTCGGAGGGGATGGCGGCCGACGCAGCTGTGCGGCTGCTGTGAGCAGCCGGGGCGTCGATGCCCCTCTGGAGGGGCTTCTGCGGGATGGCAGTGACGATGACGGTGGCGACACTAGGGTCCGGCATCTTGGCTCGACGCATGTGCTAGGGGCACCTCGGGCGAAAGCCTTGGCGACGGTGACGCCTGTGGGCGCCTGTAACAGAACCGACCAATTATACGAAATTAAGTAAGAAAATCATCCGCCAGAGCAGACGATTTAGCAAACTTAAGTCCGTATAACCCGGTAGTCCGTGAAATCGCGAAGGATTTCAAACCAACTCGTGTCCCAGCCATGATCGTAATAAGTTTAGCGGTCACCATCACATATTACATAAAAGTTCGCAATCTCAGATACATCAGAGTTTAAACATAGTTATTACAAACCAGTTCGAATAAAAGTAGCGGAAGTCATTTGTTCAAACCACACACACACTCACGCGGAGTTTAAATATAGTGCCAGCGAATGATCATCTCCAACAAAAGCATTAGATGAGACGTAAGGAATGACCATGCCCATGGTCCTAAGCATCACCCATCGCAGGATAAAGGCAGTTGATACAATAGCCGTAATACATCTGCCCATCTGCAACAAGTGGGAATAAAACCCTGAGTACGAGAAGGTACTCAGCCAGACTTACCCGACATAACCGAAAATAAATGACACCAAGGATTATGAAGGCTCTATAGTAGGGTAGCTGACTCATTTGCAGAAAGAAGCATTTTTAGCATTTCAAGAACTTTTCGAAAGGCATTATTGTCAACTTAATTATTATTAACCTATCGACTAGATTTGCATCTATACTAGAGTAAACATGTGATTAAGCAATTAATGATAACCACTGATCATTAAACAACTTCCATACTGTCATATTCACTATAACTGTCCAAGTGTTCCATAAACATTTACTACGATGAAGTCACTCAAGTCAAGTGCTCACTATCCAGGAGCGATGGCGATTCGAATCGATTCCTAACCAGCTGGTGATTTATTCCTTACACAAATCTCACTCACCCGCTAAAGTGAGATATTGATCACCGAGTCAACTTTCTAGGTATCTCGAGTTTGCCAGGAACCACATGTACCCGGGGGCCGACCGACTGCACTTTGGTCTTATCATCCCGCCCCCGTGTCCTACCACACCTTTCTCGGCACAAGGTCTTGGCTGCGGGCAATCTACTCGGGCGAAAAATCTCCCGGCTTCGCGGTCGGAAGGTACTTTATCCGGCCCGACTAAATGTAAGGCATGCGTTCAACATGACTCGAGACCCAACAACGGTCGGTCCTTAATCGACACGAGCGGAAACACTACAGTCCAAAACTCGCAAGTCTCGCCTTGGTCTCAACTTCATTTAACACTTAGTTATACCATGACTTCATAGCCATCCAAGCGAGATCCGGTAACCACCTATAGCTCGCGGTGACAGAAATCACCCGACTTCTACGAGTCTAAGCCGACTAAGCATTGACTTCATTGCGGATACCGAGGTAACAAGGATATAGTATAACAAAGGTAAACAAGGTATAATGCAAAGAAGCGGTTGCAAACAACTCCTGAACGTAATGCATCAATTTAAGTAAAGTATTTAATGAAATCATTGCAAACCGGGAGAAAGATGCTCGGGGCTTGCCTCTCTCGAAGGAGCTCGGACGGTGATCGGGCACTCGGGAAGTTCCTCAACGTCCTCCTCGTCGGCTTCGGCACTTCTGCTTCTTTGCACCTCGAGCTGCTCCTCGGGCTCCTCGGGTATGACGACTGGGTTCTCGGTTTGCGATCTGTATGATGCAATGCGGCGTAAGGGATTATGCAAGCGGTGCATCGAATGAGATGAATACAATGAATATGTTTGAATGCAAGGTAGTCAACATCATCCAAGAAAATATACTACAAGCACATGTCATCTACTGCATTCTCTTCTACTACTAATATGTTTAAGTCAACACATCTTATCAAATGCTTCAAAGATACACCAAAGCTATTATTATTAAACAATCTTGCATTAAAGAGGATTATTTTATTTCTTTTTAAACTAAGGCTACAACAACAACCTATATTTCTGGTGCTTATAAAAATCTAAGAAAATTACAGTAGCATAGTACTACTCTAAGTAGACTACCATAAAAATTTCATGGCATTTGGGTAAGTAAACTATCCTACACAAAAATGACAAGCTATGGCATAAAAATGAGCATGAAAATACTTTGTACTATGAAAAGTGTCAAACAACAAATTGAGTATTTTCCTAGATTCTAAACAGTAAATAATCACTATACAAAAATTACCACATGCAGGTTTTATACAAATTTTGCTCTTTAGCAAAAAACAACAAAAAATCAACCATTTAAGGTACTTGAACTACACCTCAAAATTTTCCCACACCACATGCATGGCATACATTTTTCACAGAAAGTACATCACTCAAGGAAACTAACAAAACTGGAAGCATATTTTTTTACGAAGGTATATTTCATTTACTAGACATTTTCTCGAAAATCAACATTTATTCACTTTAAATAAAGCTACACAGAAAATTATCACAAATTTGACATGCAATATTTTTAACAGATAGATCTAGTCACAAGAAGCATAACAAAATTTGTTTCATACGTTTTGGAGCAACACAACTTGATATATACATTTACTAAGCATTTGAATCAAATTTTTAAACCATCTCTCAAAACCCATTTCCTTAAAACGAAAACCAGCGCATGCAAGCGTTGGGTGCACCCGGTCTTCTGTACACACGGGGTTTCCCTCGGTCGCATTGCAATGGGGCCCTCAACTTACCCCAATTGACCAAAGCGAGGGGATAGGCTCACGCCGTGGTGCTCACCGGGCGAAGCTCCTCCGAAGATGCAGCGGTACCAGTGGGCTCCCCACGCGAGCCGCACCTCTGGAAGGTTAGAGGTGGCCCGGCGTCGTGGCGTTCCACGCGACCACGGCCCGCTTCGCCAAGCGAAAGAAGACGGCAGAGAGCTCGGCCCTTACCTTAACGAGCGGCCATGAAAGTGGCGCAAGCGAAGGAGCTAAGCGAGGCGAGCTCGGCGAGATGAATCGAAGAATGAAGGCGGCGGGTGGAGCACGTCGTCGTCGGCGAGGCGGCGGACGATGGCGGCGCGTCTTGCCTTCTTCTTCTTGAGGCAGGCGAGAGACAAGGCGGCAAAAGCGAGGAGTGCGGGGAGAGGCCTTCGGACAGCCTTGAAGGCGAACTCTGCGGTCGGATGGGCACACCGCCCTACGCCGGTGTCTGTCTGGCCAGCGTGCGTGGCGCAAAGCGGTGAAGGCGGTCTGGCCTTGGCCGCGAAAGCCGCGGGCAGCGTGGGCCGGGCGGCAAAGCGATGGCTGGGCCAAGGCGAGCGAGCGGGCGGCGGCGGCGCGCAGGCAGGCCGGGCCGGCTTGGTGGGCGGGCGAGCGGGCGTGACCCGCTAAAAAGAAAAACATTCTTTTCAATTTCCATTTTCAATAAATTTTCAATTAACAGTTTTCAAATATTATTTTGAGCAAGAAAATGACCTCTTTTGAAAATGTACCAAAAATGAAAGTTGTTTAGAATTTAATTCTCTACAACTTTGCTTT